AGTTACAGACTAGATCTCATACTCACGCCAAGTTGTTTACATGAAGTTAGTGGTAGTATCAGCTCAAAATACTTCATAAAGACATCACAAGTAAGTAAAATTAAATTGAGGTTGTTTTACAAAGTCAAAGAAAAAGGAGGAAAGAGCAAGAGAAAAGTCAGTCTTGGTTTAGGAGTATCCAACAATATACCATAAGCTCATTTCAGTCCAATGCTAAAATGATTTCACCTCCAAAAAATCTAGACTGAATTGGCAGAAACTAAAAGAACTGTGAAGAAATGTCTGTTGTGGTTCAACCTCAGCCAGCCACCAAGCCCCATGCAGCCGCTCACTCATTCCCCCACTAATGGGACTGGGGAGAGAATCAGAAGTGTAAAAGCTAGAAAACTCATGCGTTGAGATAAAGACAATTTAATAGGAAAAGCAAAAGCCACACATACAAGCAAATCAAAACAAGGAATTAATTCGCTGTGTCCCATGGGCAGGCAGGTGTTCAGCCATCTCCAGGAGAGCAGGGCCCCGACATGTCTAACAGTTACTTGGGAAGATAAATACCATCACTCCAGATATCTCCCTCTTCCTCTTTCTTCCCCCTACTTTGTATACTGACCATGATGTAATATGATATGGAATATCCTTTTGGTCAGTTTGAATCACGTGTCCTGGTTGTGTCTCCTCTCAGCCTCCCATGCACCCACAACTTCCTTGCCAGCATGGCAGTAGGAAAAGCAGAAAAGGCCCTGGCTCTGTGGAAGCACTGTTCAGCAATAACAAAAGCATCACTATATTACCAACCCTGTGTTCAGCACAAATCCAAAACACAGTCCCATACCAGCCACTGTGGAGAAATTAACTCTACCCCAGCCAAAACCAGCACAATACCTAAGCTACTAAATAAGGACTATTTAAGAGAATATTCAGCTATGAGCATTACTTGAGAGTCTACCTACCTGCATGCCTACTACACATTAACTAGTAAAGAAAACTCAAAAGTTTTAAGTATCTACAACAGGATATGGACTTTTAGGAAATGTGTCCAAATCCAGTTCAGGTTAGAAGTTACTTGGGCTCTTTATGTGATAAATATTGAGTCATGTATTAATTACACCCATTCTAGTTCCTGTTATCCAGGTGCCATGGATCATCACTAATACCTGAAGGGTCATCTGGAGACCAAAGTTTATGTCTCTGTGGAATTTATCATTTTTCATTACAAATATCTCTGGATCAGAGAAGAGGCATGGGGTTCCCCTCTGTGGATGAACAGGAGGCAGTTGTTCCCAGAAAAGTGAACTAATCAGGAGCGATAAATCAACTTCTAAACACACAGTCCAAACACTAAAGCAGGAAAAAGTGGTCTGCGTACCATGCAAGGAGGTTAAAAATATGCATGTGCTGTGACTGCTGGTTACTGAATGGGGAAATTCTTTTTTATTAACTCTTTTGGAATGAATACTCCCTCTGTTGTTGGTTGCATTTCCAAGACGTTTTTGTTCCCAGATGTTTATTCTCAGCACTGTAGTTCTTGTGTAAGTAGTCTTCCCCAAATGTGGTCCTGACTTCATGCAATGATTAAGAGTGTTTTCAGGCTGCTTGGCTTGCTAGTTGTTCTTGTCAGTCACCTTCCCGTTTTCTGAACATGCACATGTTCCTCTCATGATTTTTAGACACAGTGTTCCCTGGCAGCCTCCAGTTTTGCTGATCTTCTCATGACTGGTAGGGCATTTTGTCGAGTGAAGACTCACAGTCTTCAGGAGAAAGATTTCCAGCTAACCCCTGGGGAAGCACTTCCCACTTGTCAATGTCTTTCATCACCCTCCTGGCTCTAAGAGGTGGTGATGACCTCCTCCTTGTCATCCAAGAGCAGTGAGAAGGGAAGTGGTCTCTTGAGATTGCACTCCGGCACCATCAGAGATGCCTCAAAATGTGTGTCTGCATTTTCTCTCTCATTGACAATGTTGCCTCACACATTTTGGAGCTGAAAGAACCACAAGTCAATGCAGAGGCCTTTCCCACCAGGGTGAAAGGGGCAGGATTGCTAGACAGACAAAACCCTAGCAAACTCTTCCACTGCTTTAAAAGCAAATAATAACATGTTTGAAAAGAAAAATTGACCCATTTTATATGAATCCTGTAACTCCTATTTACTTTGCTTGCATGATTAGAGTTGCTAATGTTAACAAGAGGAAGATGAGTAGCATGTGGCACTACTCACTTCCCTCTGCATTTGAATGTTCTTTAAGGCATGCATTTTTCACTTAGAAGTTGACTTTTTCAAAAAAGTGGGTTTTTTTCTTCCCCATGAAAAACAGAAAACCCAGAGATACAGGCTGGCAGTAGTGACCAGCATGGAATAATTACCTCTCTAACACTGTTAAGACCATACAAAAGGATCTGCAACATCACCTACATACAGGAAGAAACAGGCTCTGGACCTGTGCATTTGGTTGTCAGACCACTGCAGTAGTGATGCTGCTGGTACTCACGGCCTCCAAACAAGTTGTTTGTCAACATGCTTTTGAGTCCCTATATTGCACTCAATCAAGTTTGATCTCCAGCTCGAGGAAACTGTGTTCATGTACCTGCCACCCTTTCTCTCTAGGGACTAGGCCTTAACGCTAAGATTTGTAGCTTGCAATTTCTTTTTCCAGGCTCAGGCTTCTGTGTTCCTCAAAAATGAGGAAGGAAATCCCTTTTTAATTTTGCCGCCTTTAAGAACTCTAATCTTGCTTAGCACTTTAGACACTGTTGTTATCAAGAATGTGGGGCCGTGTCCTGGATCAGATGTAACATTGTTGGACATGAAACAGGAGCTATGGATATCATCTGCTCAGGATATTGTATCAATGCTATCCCCTGGCTTTGCTGTTTCCAAACAGATTTGCAGAGGCAAGAGGAAAGTTAGCAGAGCAAAGCAAACAGGGCTGGATTATTTTTATTACAGTCCTCACAGCTGGTCAAAATAGTCAGTACCTTCCAAACTGACCAGATAGAAATGCAAGTGAAAGCTGAACTTGAGGTGAGCATCAGGCAAGGCTGGGGCAAGTGTCTTGTGTTTAGCACCTGATCCCCTTTGTCATGCCCCATTTCAGCAGCAAGGGCAACTGGCCCAGTGTGCACACTCAAATCAGAAGACAAAGTGCTAACCCGGAAGATCTCATCTAGTTTTAACACCTCCAAAGCCGCAGGACTAGACCCCGAGGAAGACATTGTGCAGGACAGTGGGGTCCAAGCAGTCAGGAAGCCACCAGGACAGTGGGGGCTGCAGCTGGGGTCCCACAGGGTGGCTGCAGAGCAGGAGGGCCAAGGGGCAAAGAGCTTCTGAGCTGAGCTGAGCCTTCAGCTCTGGGCAGTGCTCAGGCGTCCCAGCCCTCTCCTTGCCATGGTGTTCTCCCATGCCTGTGCCTTTGCTGTTCACCTCTCCATAGAGAGCTCCCAGGCCAGGGGACAGTAAACTGCCCACCCCTGCAAGATCAATCACTGCAAGGAGCAGGGAGGTGGTCTTATTTGAGGAGCTATTACTGGTACCAGTAAACACACTGCAGTGGCCACTCCCTGCCTACTTACCCTGCACCTACTCATGAAAAAGTAAACTTGGGCCATTAACTTTGCCTGGCGTTCCTAGACTGAGATTTGGGTTTTTTTATAAAAGACAGTTTTCCAAAGGGGCAGATAATTGCTGTTCCATCTTGAAATTAAAACGAACAAACCAAAAAACCTCAAGCAACTTTCTTGTCATATATAATTTTCTTGCATAATTTAGAATTTGTTTCCCTTCTTCTCTGCTGCTAGAAGGTGTGGGGCGGGGACCCAACACAGCATCTGGGAAGCTGCTGCAGTCCCAAGGCTGAGCAGGATGCCCACATCAGCTCAGGTGCCACTGGAGCTGGTGGGAGAGATGGCTGCCCCTGTGTCATCCATCATGGGAAAGAAATGCCTAAAGCAGCATGTACTTAAGGTTACCGCCTCCCAGATGGTCCTTTACTCAGAACATCCTAATATGTTATTAGTTATGGAGCAGGGCTTTGGGCTTAGGTTTACAGTGAGAAACCAAACGCATGTTTACCATTTTCTGTAATAGCAGCAGAGTGTAAAGGAATGATTATAATAGTATCTAGGGAGTGTGTTTCTCAGGTCTTACCACATGTAAACACAATCATAAGTGTAATCAATGTCAATGACTTCCATTTAATTCTCAGACAAAGTTTGCTTTTAAATACCACACCAGATTTGACATGGCCAATGATAAATGCAATGCAATTAGTTCTACTATTTCCTTTGATGATATGCTAAATTATTTCTTACAACAGACCATTTATTATCCAAAGCTAATGATTATACTCTTCCAGTTAACAAGTGGCAAACTGATAAGTTTCAAATTGAGATTCTACAGCCTGGAAAAAAAGTCATCCCCTGAATGAGTTTCATCTAATAAATCCTTGTCAATGCCCAAGTAATAATTTTCAGAAAGAAATCTTAAACTGCAAGAATTTTGTACGTATTTCTCATAATTACACAAATAAAAAAATAATTATGCTGCCTCTTAGTGATTTACAGTCACTTAATGAATATTTAATGTTAAGGAAAATGTCAAGATTTAAATATTCTTGTGGCATTTCTGACAAAATGCATCTTCTATTCGTTAATAAGACTTTTTTTTTTTTTTAACCTCCAGAACTTATTAGGATCTTACCATGGTAATTGAAAACTAATGAACAGAGTGTGGTCCCTGAGAAGACAAAAGCAATTTCCTAATTTTTTACCTGTATTCAAAATTTTCTCTTATCATCAAAGGGCAGGTCTGTACACCTTGATTGCTTTTATTCCAGGTTTCAAAATCATGCAGGCACAGTAAATTCTGGGTTTTATTAGAGAAAATTCTTTCATAACATCAGTGGTTACATAAGTAAGCAATTATTTCCCCTTTCTGTGGCTACCTTAATAACAGCAAGCCAGGGTGGTCTGCCACGGTCACTCCCCACACACTTGTTTGCCCCCTCCCAAACCTTCCTTGCTCTCCCAGTCCTTCCTCCCTTCCCATCCACCTGCACCTGGCTACAGCCCCACTAGGCACAGCTCTAAATCTTACACTCTTCTGCCATTTCCCTACTGGTTTTTTTTCTTTCTATTTATCTAATTCCTCAGGGATTTTTTTTCTCATCCTAGTCCCCCTCCCCGCATTTTCTGAGCTCCATGTTTTCTTGCTCCTTGTTGTGCAGGGGATTCCTCTCAGCAGCTCAGTCTCCCTGAAGATGATAGGAAGAGGTGATCACTAGGGATAAAGGCAAACTCAGAAAACATACCAGTGTTTCATGAAATATCATACTATTCTCAGTAAAGTCTTAAAAATTAACAACCATGGATTGTCTCTTCTGCCAAGGATTATGTAGAAATGGAGAGGTGAGAGCATCTTAGCATTTTCCCTGAGGAGAAGAAGAAATACACTAGACATTCAAATCATCCTTCTTATTTTGCTGTCCATATGATGTCACCATAAATCTGTCAATCTTGAATAAAAGCAGCTACAACAGAGAGATATGGGAAATTCCACTTGCAGGACCACAGCTAAGATGCTGCTGTGTTTGGTACCCTTTTCTCTAAGGGTCTGCCTCGTTATTTTCAGTGTAAACTGTCTGGTTTCTAAATTCTGATCAGAAGAATATTCCCATCATCCAGATTACATCCTGTCCCTTGCCAACCTTTTGGCTGGGATAACATTCCCTTGAGGTTTTCCGTGTAGATAAAAGAGCCCTCAACAAAATCTGCATGACTGGGCTAAGGCTGCCTGAAACAGCAAGCTCTGCTTCTCCCCCGCAAAACCCCAGAGTACATATTCATCACCCCTGCATTTATCACAGCAAGATTCATAAAGATTTTTGACAGATGATACATGGCTTCTAAACTTTGGTTTTCCAACAGAAATATCAGAAAGTGGCAGAATGCTACTTCTTTTTCAGTTTGAGGGAAGACTGCAGATACCAATAATAGCAGTCTATCCTTGCAGCAAAGTCAATCCATCACACTTGCTATACCTTCCACTCATCTCTGGTCAGACACAGCTCTGTGATTTTAGCACTCCAAAATTTCTGCATTCTCCAGGGCAGCAGTCATCTTTTTCTAGGGAGTCATGTTAAAATGACCCACCTGCAGCAGGTCTTGTCTTCTGCTTTTTCTTCCAAGTAAAAAGGATTTATTTAGTAACTAGAATTGTCTTCTTTTGGGGGAGGGCACTGGGTAAAACTCACATTCTGCTTATCATTTTTTTCTGCAGCAGGGTGGCTACTTGTACCGAGATGAAGTGTCAGCAGGAGTTCAGTGATCATCTGCTCTGTTCAGCCAAACAGCAATGGCCTGGACCAGCCTCAGCATGCACTGCCTCTTCCCTGGCCAGCCCTTGGCAGGCTACTGTGGGCAAGGGGATATGGAGGGAACCTGGGGCTGCAGAGAAGGAGAGAGATGGGGATGGGATAAGGTGAGATAGGGTTTCCGCAGTGCAAAAAATAAGGCAGAAATCATGGGAAGCAGACGTGGTTACTGCTGCTGTCCGTGGGGCAAATTGTCTCCTCCTACCACACCTCAGAGGAGCTTCCGTGGGACGGTGACACCACAAAGCCATGGGGCCCACATACTGTTACCATTTGCCAGAGTCCCATAAGGGAGATTTAAATCCCACGTTCACACGTCATTCTTCATGACCGCATGAGTGAAGTATAAAATAAAGGTAATAATAAAGTGCTGCAGTGCAATCCCTTAGGACAGTGATGAGAAAGCATGCAGCTCTGCTTCCCGCAAGACAGGCGCTGATTTCCTCTGATGGCAGTACCAGGCTGCCACTGCGGCTTCTCCCTCCAGCGCGGGATGCCAGCTGCACGATGCCATTAGCATTCCTCATCAGCCGCAGCTTATGTCTCTCTCTGTGCACAACGTTGGGAAACCAGGTCATTCTCTTGGCTCATCCTCTGATAACTCCTCTTTTCTTTCACTGCCGGGAAGCTGAGGATGGTGTAATTAGTTTGCACTAATGTTCAGCTCTATGTGCGACTGCTTTTGGCTCAAGCCAAAAACGAAGTTTTCACATAGTTTGGATGCCCTAATAGGAGGGGAACTTGAGACAAATCTGGGAGGTAACTATTTTCCTTGGGTTACAATGATTCAGCTGATATTTTTCGAAATACCACAGAGAATGCAAAGGACATGTTAAACCTCCAGTACTCCAGAACTCACTGAGCAGAGAATACATTAGTGTGATTCCAATGAAAATACAGAGTTATACACCCACCCATGCCAGGTAACAACTGGTACTGCAAGGCTATCATAACAAGCAACCTGAAATCATGCCCTAATGTAGAAAAGCTGCCCAAAGTTTTATTTAACTCCTTTGGGATTGCAGGCAGATCAGAGTCCTGATGTTCCAAAAAAGCTGCAGGGGGAAATAAAAAGGAAAAAGTCAACCCCGAGCCCAGATAAGAAGTTCAGGTTTTTATAATAAGACAGTGGAAGTGATGACTTTAAACCTGAGAGGAATAAATTTTGAGAGGACTGTGTGGAGCATGGTACAGAGAGATAAAGCAACAAACTTTATTAAAGGGTAAGTGATTTTAGTCTGTGAATGAACACATAAACATAAATGCCCACAAAGAATTATCTGGTTGATACAGTGGTGCTTGTATAGCAGTTGAGTAACCATAACAGTAATTAAAGCTGTATTAATGTGTTTGAGTGATGCTCTGTAAGTGTCACTGCAATGGCAGTCACAGCATCAACTGAAGCAGCTAAGCTTCGAGAGGAGGAGCTATGAACTACAGAGGCTCCTTGCCAGGAATGTGCTTGGAATTTGATATGTTGGAACACTATTAAAAATAATAGGATTTAAATAATAATACACACAGCCCCACAGTATTTAGTATCCACTGCAATAACTGCAAAATCAACAAATTATATGCAGTATTTCAGGAGAAAAAAATATGTAGCAGAGAATGCCTTAGCAGTCATTCATATCCCTTTACAACCAGCTGGGTTCTTCGGAAAAAAGCACAGCAGGTTTCAAGGAACTACATAATGTTTTGGTAGGCTGAGAAAGAAATTACAGTTGAATCTGAAATTACAGTTGGAATTGATGACACTAGAAACATTTAAATTTCTCTTTTGCAATGATTTAGGTTAAGAAGTCCTAAACATTGGGTATAAGCTCTCCAGACCTCTGCAAACACAGATCTGTTAATTCAGTTAGATGAGAGTTATAGCTTACTAGGAGAAAAATATCAAACAGAAACGTTTGCAATTGGATTTAATGGGAATACTTGTGCTCCTGGAGAGAGAGAAACATTTTCCAAAAAAATTCTTGCTCAAGTTTAGGTGATCCTAGCTGCCCAAATTCAGCAGAATAATTTTACAGAAGCTTCAGGTATATTCATTTTACTATCAACATTATCAAGATAAGATTTGGCCCAAAAGGCTACACATCCTTTAAACTTGTCATAACAACTCCAGGTATAATGGCAGCCCAAGCACAAGGTATGCTTCAGAGGTGTGGTGTTAGTTGCAGATACATTTGTCTAATTTTTCAGCTTCATCTCTTGCAAATCAACAGGTTTCAAATAGACCCTGAATAAATAAATGATTTTGGTAAGTCCAGTGACATATTACCTCTTTCCTGAAGTGGTTGATTTAATAAAAGATATTTCAGTGTTATCCACAATCACTACCAATGTGATAATGAGTATCATCTCAATCCTCTGTGTTGTGTGAAAACATTGCTTTGATTCACAATGCGGCAATCACAACTTCATATATATATACAAGACCAATACTAAGGACTTAATGGTTATGATGATAAACCAGCACAAAGAATTAATTCAAAGGACAGAAATCCTTCCTTGAACTTTTTTCCAGATTTGAGCCTGGAACATTAATTGTGCTTAAAATGCAATTTGCAGCAATGAGCATTTTACCGTGACTGAGCTTTTCTTATTCATTGCAAAAAGTGAAACAGAGGAAATTCTCTTACACCGTTAGGCGCAGATTCTTTCAGCCTACATACTTTGGTGATATTTAGACTATGGAAATATGGGCAGTATAAGTGGTGATCTTTTGTAAAGTGGCTACTGAGCTGTTAGGAAGAAACCTAAGCCTTGCAATTGCCTCCTCCCATAAATCAAACGGTGCCTTCGTTGGCACTAGAGGCAGAGAGTTATGTAGCCTCTAGTTAGATCTTGTACTGAAGAGAATCACTCTGCACTAGGAATGAACTCTGCAAATAAAAAAATACAAGCTGCCACCATTTTTTTATATGTTTTAGTACACATCTTCGGGGATGGGGAGAGAAAAAGAGATTTCCATGTTCACAACATATTAGAATAAATACCCCTTTAAAAATATTGCATAATATAGTGTAATAGCTCTGGTTTGATTCATTCATGCCTTAGGATTTTCTTTACAGATGGAGGGACACCTCTTCCTACTGCAAACCCTTGGCCAACTGCTGCTGCTGGCACTTTGGGCTCATCCTGCAAATGGTTCACATCCAGGTTCTAGCAGGCCATTGATCAGTTCCTAACACTTTCAGTTGAGTAGAGACTTTCATGGCAGGATGAAGTGACAGTAGCAGCGGAGGCAGACTGTAAAAATCCTACCAGTCATTGTAATACACACTTCAGGACAGCTTGAGTTTGCGTAGTAGCTTCTTTCTTTGTCCTTCTCCAACAGACGATACTTCTGTTGCATAGTAAATGAGCAACACTATTTGATATTCTGTGTATAATTAAAAGCTGAGAAAAAAAGGCTAAATCCTCTTATATTCTTATTTCTTGCAGCCAGTGATCTTAGAGTTTTCACCAAACTGTTGTGCCAACATTGTTGTAGTCACAAATCAGGAAGTGGGAAAAGTAGAAAACACTAGAAACATAGAATCACACAGTATGCTGAGTTGGGAGGGACCCTAGAAGATCGTTAAATCCAACTCCTGACTCCACACAGGGCAACCTAGAAGGTAAACCACATATCTAAAAGCATTGTGCAAAGTCTTCGTGACCACTGACAGGCCTGGGGCCATGTCCACATCCCTGGGAACTTGCTCCAGTACAGATCTCTGAGCATTCAGCCCAAAAGTCGTATAAAGAGACCTTTTGTTGACAGCACTGTCATGGAGAGCGCAAACCTTTGCTATGGTTGTGCAACTGTGTTGCAAGGGTATGAGACCATAATAATTAGTTGTGTAGGAAAAGTAGTCTGCGGGACTGAGCTGAGGCCCCAGGCTCTGAACATGAGCCAGCATGGTGGAGCTGCTCAAGCAGAAGTCTGCTTAGAAGCTGGTAGAGACACTACCATGGTAACACCTTTGGTCATTGGATCTGGTCCAAAAGGTTTGGCTCCAGCACCTGTGGCCCATTAATGTTTATGCAGTGTAATGTATGTCAAATGAAAAGCAGTTCTCTGGGGGTCCTTTATACTGCTGGTGGTGAGGAGGTTACTTCCACAGTTTCATCCATGCTGGCATCTTTTATAGGAAGAATGGTTTCTAGACCATTCATGTCTCATGAAAAATGTTGCTGAAAAAGCCTGTGATCTTCTTTAGGATCCTAAAAATGTAGCTGTAACAGCAAGATCTGCTTTCCTTCATCTGTTTTTTCATTAAGAGAATATTTTGTATGCAGATCAGCTGAATTTGCCTCTGGCTTATCACAGTTATACATCTAAAGCATCACAGCCCTGAATGTTATCCATATATTGTAGTCTTCTACCCAGTTCCACAGGGCATACACAGCACTAACCTCATAGGTATAGCCAAACTGAGAAGGAAAATTCATGGTCCTACTTTTTAATAAAACAAAATTATGATGTCACTTCCCCCTGCCCTGGTATATTAAAAGTAAGAAAACAACCTGATGAAAATATTCTGAAAAATGTCAGAGCAACAAATGACCCAGTAAAGTGCCTGGCTCTTTGGGCAGTAATACTGCTGAGCAAAGAACTATCTTCTCACTGTGCATCATAAATCCTGTCTTCAGTTCTTAAAATGTTCACAAATAATCTTTCAAAATAGAACATAAAACCAGTTCCTGCATATTCATGTTATAGGCTACAAACAAGGGCTTCCTCCAGAAGCCAGTTTCACTTCTCCAGCATCACCATAAATTACCATAATCTCCTACCCTTCATGGACCATGCCGGGTGCTGAAAACAAAAATTATTACTGAAAATAATTTTCTGAATATTACTGAAATTATTTTTAAATGCTATCCCAAAATACTTACATGACATCTAAATATAATCCTAAAACATGTGTGGCTAGTACAAACTGCATGTGCATTTCTGTACTGGTGTGCTTTTAAGAGTGAAAAGGATTTAGACCAGCAGTTGTAAGTTCATTGCTGATTCTTTAAGGACAATGTAGTCCTTACAGAGCAGCTGCTCACAAACTGCTACGCACTTTTCCTCTGAAACTCAGGTCCCTTCAATGTTCCTCAAAGTCTCTTTAATGTTCAGTGATATGGTAATCACGGGTAGGCAGGCATGGAAACGTCACTGAAGCT